CATCATTGCTTACTACGTGTGAAATCTGTGAATGATCAGAGGTCATATGGTACAAGGCTATTCACAACAGCTTGTACCATGTGAGAAGCTGTGACCAATCACAGCTCACTCAGTAGTTCTCAATGGCTGCAAGAATGCAGCCAGAGTGGAGGAGAAATGATTGCTTTTAGAGCCTTTATGGGTGTAAAAGCAACCATGGTGACAGTATGTAAAAAAAAAAAAAAATATATAAATGTTTAGTTTATAACCAAAAGTTATAATTTTTAATTTGGGTTACTTTGTTTTTTACTAAAAAGATAACGGAATACATTTTGGCCAAGATTTATGATGAAATTTTATAAGATAAACACTTTTTTTTAAAATTGTTGGACATTTTCATTTACATAGCAAAAAAAAAAAAAAAAAATTCCAGTGGTGAATATTTCTGGGGAGGATGTCCATAGATTTCATCAGATTCTTAAAGGGGTCCTTGACTCAAAAATGATAAAGAACCCCTTGTCTAGGTGGTGTTTTGTTGTTTGGACACTACAGACTCTGGCACCCTACTTTGCCGCTCCTGAGTAGTGGTGGCTTGTGGTATTTTTTTTTTTCGCCCATCAGATGACCAGTCAAGAAACATAGTAGTTCTGTTTGCATTGCCCAGTTGTGTCAAAACTGTTTTTAATCTTGGCATGCCAATCGCCCCTCACTTCCTTTAGGGCTCGTTCACACTTGACTGTTTTACCAACGTTTGCCAAATGCCCCTATAGCGTTTGGCAAGCGTTGGTCCGGCGTTCGCGGAGCATTTTTTAACGCTCCTCAAACGCCACATGCGTGGTTTAGCGTAGTTTGCCGAGCGTTAAAAACGCAGCACAAACGCCTATAATGAAGTTTAAATGGTGTTACAGCTCCGCAACCGTGCGCACCGTAGACTAGAATAGGAGGCTTCAACGCCTCCTGACTCGAGCAGAGGCGTCCGTTTTGACGCGACGCTAACGCTCCCGTTAGGACAGCACCATGTGCTGCAATGTGCAGAATTGTCAGAGGCGTTTGGGAAGCGGTTCCCAAACGCCTCTCTGCCGCCTGCACACAACGCTAGTGTAAACGTAGCCTTAGGTGATAATGCTACAGCAACATTGCCAGTCGTGGCATGGTTGTCTCTGTTGTTGGCAATGCACGCTGGAATTACTGAGCGTCACAGTAAGCCAGGTTTTAAGCACAGTTACCATTGAATAATAAGCGCCTGGCTTGTCCATCAATGACAGACCACTTGTTCCATTCATAGTCTGAAAAAAGGAGGCATAGTGTCAATAGCAGCTTGCAGGGCTGCTGGATGGTATGCTACTGCTTGGAGATTCTATCACACGACCCTGCCTACTTGGGTGACAGGAGCTTACATTGGAACATTATGGAGTAAGAAACATTTGACGGTGTGTGTGTGTGTGTGTATGAATATATATATGTGTGTGTGTGTGTGTGTGTGTGTGTGTATATGTATGTATGTGTATATATATATATATATATATATATATATATATATATATATTATATATATATATATATATATATATATATATATATATATATATATATATATATATATATATATATATATACACACAGTGGGGATCGAAAGTTTGGGCACCCCAGCTAAAAATTTGTATTAACGTGCATAAAGAAGCCAAGGAAAGATGGAAAAATCTCCAAAAGGCATCAAGTTACAGATTAGACATTCTTATAATATGTCAACAAATGTTAGATTTTATTTCCATCATTTACACTTTCAAAATAACAGAAAACAAAAAAATGGTATCTGCAAAAGTTTGGGCACCCTGCAGAGTTAATATCTTGTACTGCCCCCTTTGGCAAGTATCACAGCTTGTAAACGCTTTTTGTAGCCAGCCAAGAGTCTTTCAATTCTTGTTTGAGGTATCTTTGCCCATTCTTCCTTACAAAAGTCTTCCAGTTCTTTGAGATTTCTGGGCTGTCTGTCACGCACTGATGTTTTAAGGTCTATCCATAGATTTTCAATTATGTTGAGGTCAGGAGATTGTAAAGGCCATGGCAAAACCTTCAGTGTATGCCTCTTGATGTAATCCCCCGTGGATTTCGAGTGTGTTTAGGATCCAATTCATCATATGCCGTGTTCTCTGCTGCCAAGGCCAGGCATAGATATGAGAGTGTAATGTGTTTTATGCATTTCAACCACAATACACTCTGTCGTCCTCGGGGTGACCCTGAATTTGACCGACTCCACAAAATTCGGCTCCTCGAAAATCACCTTAACCAAAAATTTGCTGATGTCTATACTCCCTAGCAAAACATCTGTGTTTGGAGTCCATTAATTTTTCAGGCCGCCTTACATTTAAACAATTTCTCCCCAGCAAGCGTGCCAGATATGGGGTCAAGATGTAGAAGACCTGTGAGAGGGCAACAGGCTATACATACAAGTTTTGGATTTATGAGGGAAAAGATAGTCACGTGGAGCCCTCCAGATGCCCAGACTACACGGAGAGCAGTGGCAAGATAGTTTGTGACTTGGTGCCCTCCTTTTTCCATATGAGGGACCACTTATATGTGGACAATTTTTATTCAACTAGTCACTATTTAGACATTTGTTCAATCTCGGAATTGGCGCATGTGGCACAGTGTGACCTAGTCGCCGGGGCTTCCCCCAACGGCTTGTAAATACCTGTTTTAGGGGGAAAAAGCCTGGTTAAAAAATAAGGAATTGCTTGCAGTGAATTAGAAGGATAAACGGGATGTTTCCGTCCTGTCTTCCATTCACGCAGACATGACCATCCAAATTGCCACGGCAGCTGGTGTTGTTGAGAAGCCCCTCTGTGTCCACGACTATAATCTTAACATGGGAGGGGTGGACTTCAACAAGCAGATGATGAAGCGGCATTGCATGACCGCGCAATTGTCAGTTAAAGTACCGCAGTGCTGTAATGCTAAAAACGGCCTGGTCAGGAAGGGGGGGTAAATTCTCTGGACGGAAAGTGGTTAATATTCCAGTGGGTGGTGAGTTCTCCTTTCACTTTGTTAAAGAGCTACAGCCCCTGATGAATCTTCCACATTTGGCACTTCTATTGGAATCCTGGTACCCCCCGCTGCACTGTCCATCAGATGCTCCCTTCCTTACTGCAGCACACCAGGAGGGGCTGGTGGATGGAATCATAGAATGCAGTGGGGGATGAGGCAAACCTGAAAAATTACGCCAGCAGTTTTTTTTTTTTTTCTTCTTTCCTCTGAGGAAAACCTACAGCACTGGCCAGAAGTTTTGAGAATTACACAAATATTACTTTTCACAAAGTTTGATGCCTCAGTTTTTATGATGGCAATTTGCATATACTCCAGAATGTTATGAAGAGTGATCAGATGAATGAAAATGAACTTAATCCTCAAAAAAACATTTCCTTTGCATTTCAGCCCTGCCACAAAAGGACCAGCTGACATTTTAGTGATTTTCTCCTTAACATAGGTGTTGGTGTTGATGAGGACAAGGCTGGAGATCACTCTGTCATGCTGATTGAGTCAAAAAAACAGACTGGCAGCTTTAAAAGGAGGGTGGTGCTTGAAATCATTGTTCTTCCTCTGTTAACCATGGCTACCTGCAAGGAACACATGCAGTCATTGCTTTGCACAAAAAGGGATTCACAGGCAAGGATATTGCTGCTACTAAGATTGCACCTAAATCAACCATTTATCGAATCTTCAAGGAAAGAGGTTCAATTGTTGTGAAGAAGGCTTCAGGGTGCTCAAGAAAGTCCAGCAAGCGCCAGGACCTTCTCTTAAAGTTGATTCAGCTGCTTGCTCAGGAATGGCAGCAGGCAGGTGTGAGTGCAACTGCTTGCACAGTGAGGCGAAGACTTTGGAGGATGGTCTGGTGTCAAGAAGGGCAGCATAGAAGCCACTTCTCTCCAGGAAAAACATCAGGGACAGAATGATATTTTACAAAAGGTACAGGGATTGGACTGCTGAGGACTGGGGTAAAGTCATTTTCCCTGATGAATCCCTTTTCTGATTGTTTGGGGTATCCGGAAACTTTGTCTGGAAAATAAAAGGTGAGGGCTACTAACAGTCCTGCGTCATGCCAACAGTAAAGCATCCTGAGACCATTCATTTGTGGGGTTGTTTCTCAGCCAAGGGAGTCGGCTCACTCACAATTTTGCCTAAGAACACAGCCACGAATAAAGAAGGGTGCAAAAAACATCCTCCGAGAGCAACTTCTCCCAACCATCCAAGAACAGTGGTATGACAAACATTGCCTTTTCCAGCATGATAGTTATCACACTTGCCTTCTGGCAAGGTGCTCCAAGTGGCTTGGGGAACGAAACATCGAAATTTTGAGTCCATGGCCGGGAAACACCACAGACCTTAATCCCATTGAGAACTTGTGGTCGATGCTCGTGGCTGGCGAACAAAAAATCCATCACAACTTTTGACAAACTCCAAGCATTGATTATGCAAGAATGGGCTGCTATCAGTCAGGATGTGGCCCAAGAGTTGATTGACAGCATGCCAGAGCGAATTGTAGAAGTCTTGAAATAGCAGGGTCCACACTGCAAATATTGACTCTTTGCATAAACTTAATGTAATTTTATCAATTAAAGCCTTTGACACTTATGAAATGCTTGTAATTATACTTCAGTATACCATAGTAACATCTGACAAAAGATCTGAAAACACTGAAGCAGCAGACTTTGTGACAATTAATGTCATTCTCAACTTTAGGCCAGGGCTGTAGTAATCGTGGAGTCCTTCAGACTGGTTCAGTTTGACACCCTTTCTTCCTCTTCTCCTAAAGATAGTTGTATCTGCTGCTGTTATTGACATGTTTGTCAAGTAGTACAGCTGATTTGTTTGAGGAATCATCCCGTGTCTTTTTGTATTACAATGTGTAAACATTCTGCTTTTCCATCCTTGGTGTCATTAGATTATCGTCGAAAGGCCCGTTCACATTTATATTTCGTTACTGAATTGTGAATGTGGGATAACACACAGGTTTCCTTTGTCTCCGCAGTGATGACTGGGAGGACGTGCAGTATCAGGACACTGACTCTGATGTTCCAGAGCACAGAGAGAACCGTGTCAAGGTGAAATGGACCCTGGAGGAGGTAGGTCCCACTCCATGCACTGTTCAAGTGTAATTTACTGGTATGATCCAACAGATTCTTCAGGTGCTTGAATGCCCTGTCAGCTTTTCTTTTATGTCCCCTTGGAGCGACAGATTCAGGTGTGTTCTAGTATAGAAATGTTAAGGAGCTTTGCTTTTTTGAAAGCAGAGACCACCCTTTCTCAACTGCTGAACTTTGCTATTTGCCCATCCTTGTGATGAACAACCTTGTTGGCCAATGACTGGATCATACATAGGTTCTTGTATCTGTAAATACTTATAAAACACTCCAGTGCTCAATCCAAGGTGCTTCAAACAATATATCAGTAGGTAATGCTTCCTCGGGTGCAGCCCTCCATGAATTGGGGAAATTCCAAAATACTGTAAAAACACACACACGCAAGAGGGAGCAGACTGCTCGAGCATTGCCTTAATAAAATGTAATAAATTCCAAGAGACAAAAACATACAAACACATGGAAACAGCAGGCATATAAGAAATACAGCCTTAGGTGGCTCGTCCTATCTCAGAAACGTCTGGTGGAAACTCTAGTGCGTTTCGGGAGTCGGGCTCCCTTCAGAGCTGTGAAGAAGGAAAACTGACTCCTGAAATGCGTTAGTTTTCCACTAGACGTTTCCGAGATAGGACGAGCCACCTAAGGCTGTATTTCTTATATGCCTGCTGTTTCCATGTGTTTGTTAGTATATTTTTGTCTCTTGGAATTTGATAAATTTTCTTAAGGTAATGCACAAGGAGTTTGCGCCCCTCTTGTGTGTGTTTTTGCAGTTATCTTGTATCTTTGCGTCCTCTGAGCAGACCTGTTGTCTGTCCATCCCATTTTCCATTGGCGTTATGGGTTAAAATGATATTAAAGTGCAGCTCCACGCAAAAGGGGAAGTTACGCTTTAAGCCCTTGTCTCCCCACTCCCCATTAAGGATTGGCACCTTTGGGCAGTGGGGGGGTACCCGAATTTTACAGGTACCCGCTCCCACTTCCGCAGCGATCAGAAGCGGAAGTTGTCCTCTCCTTCTCCCTCTCCGTAGACTTCTGGGACATGTGACAGGTTCCAGAAGACTGGTGCCATTCACAAAGCTCAGCGCTTCTTGCGCATGATCAGTGGGCAGCCTCAAGCTGTCACAGCCGGGTGCCCACACTGAAGAGGCCGGCGCCAGGGAGAGAACACGGCTTACCTGCTCTCTGCTGTGGTTTTGCACAGAGCAGCCCAGATCCTCCTCTTCTCTGGTCCCTCGCTGGCGCTCCTGGCCCCTCACTCCTGACGGGGTGACCACACAGCAAGAAGCTTGATATGGGGGCACACACTGCTCTGTGTGTCCATTCACATACGGAGACGCAGCTTGCCCCCCCTTTTCATTGGCTTATTGGCTGTGATTGAAAGCAGTGGGAGCCATTGTCTCAACCAATGAGGAGAGGGAGTCCCAGGATAGCTAAGACTCCAGTGCACATCGCTGGATCGAGAGGGACATAGGTGAGTGTTAGGGGGAGCGGCTGCACAGAGAAGGTTTTTTTATGTTCATACATAGAATGCATGAAGGTAAAAAACCTTGAGCGCTTACAACTTTATACACATTTTTGCTGCTACTCAAGGGAATTTTTTGCCATGAATGGGGACTTACCATTTTAGGTGCTACAGATCAGATTTTGGTTGCTTGGGTTGAAGGTTTAGAACCACAAATTTTGTCCACAGCATTTAAGAATCTAAACTGATTCTGTAGTAGTGGTGCCAGATTGCTCTTTCCTTTGGTGCAAAGACAGGCTTTGTAGACCCTTTTGTATGTTTGCTTAGAGATGCTTCTGTTCTTATCAAAAATTATCATCGCCTCCCAATTCCCTCTCCAGTCTCCATTACAGTTATCTGCAAAGTGTTTGTTTTTTTCCAGAAACCACTTAAAGTAGAATGAAAGGCTTGCTTTAACTCCTCCAGCAATCCTATACCTCAATACAAGTAAAGGTTTTTGTTTGTTTGTGTTTGGTTTTTTTTTTTGTGTATTTGGGTTTTTGTTTGTTTTTTTGTTTGTTTTTTATTTGTGAAATTGCAAATAGATGTTTTATTGTACCTGTAAATATTGCTATAACTGAAATTCTTCTTTAACATATAAAGCCATTGCAGAAAATCGTTTTGAAAATCAGTTTTCTTCTTGTGTTATCTTTTGTAGGATGAGACATTGAAAGCCTTGGTGAGAACGTATGGACAGGGAGAATGGAAAACAATAGCCAATCATATGGTTGTAAGTAGAATGATTTTTTTTTTTTTTTTCTGCTTTAAAGTGAACTCAGCAGAAGTAGCATTGCAGAAAGCAGTTATGGATCATAAACTGGGATTGTCTGTATATGAAAATCCTCTGGGTTTCTTGCCCTGCTGTAGCCTGTGACAGCTGATCTGTGTAGCTGATGATTTTATTGATTAGCTATACAGATCTGCAATCATTCCACACCAGTGCACCAAGCACCATTTGTCTCTGTCCACAGTAGTCAACATCTGTCACATTGTACAAAAACATCTGTCAGTGTACCAATGCACAAAACAAATAGAAACATTTTTAAAGCACCCCTGTCCCCCCTTGCTCGTGTTTTAAAGGCGAACCGCACGTGTTGGTCTCATATGTAAACGGTGATCGCACCACAGGTGAGGTATTGCTGCGAACGTCAGAGCGAGGACAACAATTCTAGCACCAGATCTCCTCTAACTCTAAACTGGTAACCTGTAAAGGCTTATAAAGCGTTGCCTATGGAGATTTTTAAATACTGTAGTTTGGTACCATTCCATAAGCGTGTGCAATTTTAAAGTGTTATGTTTGGTATCTATTTACTTGGTGCAACACCATATTTTATATTTTACCAAAAATGTGTGTATTATATTGTGTTTGTGTGCATTAAAATTCCTTAAAATATATTTTTTACATATAAATTGCATTTGAAAAACTGCTGTGCAAATAACTTGTGACATAATAAATTGCAAAACCCACCATTTAATTCTCTAGGGCCTCTGCACAATAAATGTTTTGGGGTTATAAGTAATTTTTTAGTAAAAATACAGATTTTTTTTTTTTTTACTTGGAAACAAAAAGTGTCAGAAGGCGTGGTCTTAAAGTGGATAATGCCTAAAAGTGCTTGAAGGAGAAAGTCATATATGAGGTATCGCCATATTCAGGAGGAATAGCAGAATGTGTTTTGGAGTGTAGTTGCAAGTATGCCTATGCTGTGTGTGAGAAATAAATTTAATATGAAAATGTTGTGAACAAAAAACAAATTTCATTTACTTAATTTTCCAAAGAATTGTGGGAAAAAAAAAAAATTACAACTTCAAAAATCTCACTATACCTCTTACTAAATACCTTGGAATGTCTGTTCAAAAATTGGGGTCCTTTGGTGCGTATTTGTACTATCCTGGCTTGTTTGTGCCTCAATAAATGAGATGGGCTGTCAGTATATCAGTTGTGATAAGGTGTGATCAATTTTCAATGATTGGTACCATAGCTTCTAGACTCTATAACTTTCACCCAGACCAAATAATATACACTGATTTTGATTATTTTTACCAAAGCAATGTAGCAGTATAACTTATGGTCAATTTATGAATACAAATTTCTTATTTGCAAAATTTTATAATAGAAACCAAGAAAAATTTTTTTTTTTTTTTTAATTTAAACGTTTTGATATTTTTTTCCATTTTATAGTGTAAAAAATTAAAAAAACCCAGTGGTGATTAAATACCGCCAAAAGAACACTCAATTTATGTGAAAAAAATGATAAAAATTTCATAAGGGTACAGCTTTGCAGGAATGAGTAATTGTAATTAATAGTGTGAGAGTGCTGAAAGCTGAAAATTGGCCTGGGCAGGCAGAGGGTGAAAGTGGCCAGTATTGAGGTGATTAACTAGTTGCTGACCGCAGATAGCCGAATGACGGCTGCACTGCGGCCGGCCAGTTCTGAGTGGACGTCATATGACGTCCTCCCAGAACGCGCTCTCCTGCACGCCCCAGGGGGCGCGCACCTGGCGATCTCCGTGATCGCTGTGTCCTACGGACACAGCTGACCACGTGATGTGGTAAAAGGCCAATCACAGCGGCCTTTTACCACGTGATCAGCGGTGTCCAATGACACGCTGATCAGAGGGAAATGCAAGTGCCGGTTCTCGGCTGCACTTTCCTCACGCTGTCAGATCGTGAGGAAAGTACTGCCGAGAACCGGCAGTTGTCAGAGCGAGGATCGGCACCGATCATCAGGGCACTGATGATCGGTGCCCAGCAGTGCCACCCGCAAGTTCCGCCCACCTGTGCCCAGCAGTGCGACCACTAGCTCCGCCCACCTGTGCCCAGCAGTGCACCCACCTGTGCCACTCTGCAGTGCCACCTACCTTGCCCAGAAGTGCCACCTACCTGTGCCCACCTGTGCCCACCCACCTGTGCCCACCCACCTGTGCCCACCCACCTGTGCCCACCCACCAGTGCCGCCCACCAGTGCCACCCACCAGTGCAGCCCAGCAGTGCTGCCAGTCAGTGCCACCAGTCAGTGCCCAGTGGTTGTGCCAGTCAGTGCCCAGCAGTGATGCCAGTCAGTGCCGTCTATCAGTACCCATCATCAGTGTCACCTATCAGTGCCGCCTATCAGTGCTGCATATTAGTGCCCCCTATCCGTGCCACCTCATTAGTACTGCCTATCAGTGCCCTTTAGTGCTGCCTATCAGTGCCCATCAGTGCTGCCTCATCAATGCACATCAGTGAAGGAGAAAAATTACCTGTTTGAAAAATTTTATAATAGAAACAAAGAAACTTTTTTTTTTTTTTTTTCAAATTTTTTGCACCTTTTTTTATTTATAGCGCAAAAAGTAAAGCGCCCAGTGGCGATTAAATACCACCAAAAGAAAGCTCTATTTGTGAGAAAAAAAATGATCAAAATTTCATATGGGTACAATGTTGCATGACCGCGCAATTGTCAATCAAAGTGCGGCAGCGCTGAAAGCTGAAAAGTGGCCTGGTAAATAAGGGGGTATAAGTGCCTGGTAGGCAAGTGGTTAAATAGAAGCTGTCTGCCAAAGTGAAGCACACTAAAAGATGTCCAAAAGCAACACATGCCGTGATCTACAGAAATGATAGATGAGAAACAAAGAAATTGACGTGTCAGTCTGGAAAAGTTTACAAAAGCCATTTCTAAGGACTCCAGCGGACCACAGTTGGAGCCATTCTCCACAAATGGAGAAAACTTGGAACACTGGTGAACATTCCCACACGTGGCGTGGCCTGGCCTAACAAAATTACTAAAGAACAAGAAAAAAGTCTCCTGCGCTCAAGAGTGGTAAGATGGAAATATTTCCGGTCCTTAAACATCCAGCATCAGCACAGGCCTTGCTGCCCTCTAAGGTTTGGGGGAAACCCAAAAGACACTGCAAATCAAGGAACAAGAGGGCACACCACCAAACACCGGCCTAGTGCATTACCTGAGAGGTAAAAGGAGATGTATACTAGCGACTGTAGTGACAAAGGCATATCCGTATCCAAAGCAATCATGTCAGCTTCCAAAACACAAGAAGACCCTCAAATGGCTGATGCCTTTCAAGGGGTGATGCTCTCTTCATCAGAGCCAGTCTCACTTGTTACACAAGACTGCTTGTGTGAATATCTCCTAAACTGTGCCCATTTAGGAGATATTCATTTTATCTACAGGTAAGCTTACCTGTAGGTAAAAGATACTAAAGTGGGTTTACTTCTACTTTAATTGAAACAAGTACATACAGGGATATGCTTTGTTCATATTTCATGTCTGAGATTTCATGTCTGAGGTTGATATTTATCAGTATAATATGAGTTTTCTCTTTTTCCCTTTTTGTGATCCAGAATCGAACTGAACAGCAGTGTCAGCACAGGTGGCAACGTGTACTTCACCCTGACTTAGTCAAAGGACCATGGACCAAAGAGGAGGATGAAAAGGTTCGCAAGTACATGATTTTAAGGATACAAATTGTATAAGATATTGTATTGTAATAAGATTTTCAGCTGCAGTAAGACAGCTAAGACCATTTGATCTCCTAAAAGTTATAGTTCTTCGTGGGTGTTGTTTTTTTTTTTCAACCGCTCCCCGACTGCCCTATAGCAGATACACTACTACAGGGCGGCCTGGGTGTGCAAAATCGTGTGTGTGTATGTATATGTGTGTGTGTATATATATATATATGTGTGTGTGTGTGTGTGTGTGTGTGTGTGTGTATATATATATATATATATATATATATATATATATATATATGTGTGTGTGTGTGTGTATATATATTTTGTGTGTGTATGTGATTTTGCATTTCTGGGTAGGGGGCAAACTCTCTGGCCCTCATTTGTGTTGGAATACACTGGGCGGCATTGCAAATGCAAGGCACTTTGCAGTGGTGTGAGCTGAAAAACTACTGCATGCAGAACTTTTTTTTTCAGTTTAGTGGGCTGCCATGGAAATCACAGCATCCCAATACCATTGTGTGAATAGAACTTAAAGCATAAGCTCACCTTTGGGAACATGTTACATTCTCCACCCGTTTTTAGGGTGGAACATGCAACATGTTCCCGATCCTGCAGCTGCCGCCTGATTTCCCATTAACCCCAACACCCACCCCCCTTGCTTGGTGTGTGAGCATTATGAGGAGAAGTTCCCCAAACTAGTCACTTTTTAAAAACAGCATGGCCGTGCAGGGCAACGCCCACACGGCCTCGTCAGTGTTCTGTGAATGAATGGACTCAATTAATTACCACGGCGCTGCAAGCTCTGTGGTAGTTCATTAAGTTTTCCTGTCAGAAGTATTGGCTTGCCCGTACGAGATGTATGCGCAAGCAGATACACTGACAGTCTGCAGGAAAGCTGCATGGCAGTAGCAATCTGCTGATCGCTGCTACTGCAAAAAATAATAAATGCTCATTTGTTTACCTGCAAAAAAAAAAGTGCATTTATTTTGTGTAGAAAGGTGATCTTATCCTTTTAATAATGAAATGTCACTTGTGTCATTTCCATAAAGTCCTAATAAGAAAATAAAATATGTGCCATGCACCAAGATCGGCACTTCAGCACTGTGTGCTCCCAGCACTAACCAACAGCTGTGTGTTCAGCATGGTGTGAATCCACTCTTAAATGGTGTAGGTTTTTAAAGGTATTTGTGGTAACCTTTATTTATAAACGGCAACTTGATTGTGTTTCCTTCCATGTGTGATTGTAAAAAGCTTTGCTCCAACTCCAGGTAATAGAGTTGGTGAAGAAATATGGAACTAAACACTGGACTCTGATTGCCAAGCAGTTAAAAGGCAGGATGGGTAAGCAGTGCCGTGAGCGCTGGCACAACCATCTTAACCCGGAAGTGAAGAAGTCATCTTGGACAGAAGAGGAAGACCGCATTATATGTCAAGCGCACAAACTGCTGGGAAACCGCTGGGCTGAAATAGCAAAGCTGCTCCCTGGGAGGTAAGGGTTGTGTTTTCACATGGCAAGTAGTTGGACAGATTAAACCAGAATAAATTGCCCTAAATAAATTCACGTTTATAAAAATCTAACTCCTCCGATTGAACTGGGAGATTTTGTTTTTTTTTTTTTTTGGCAACAGATGTGACCAAATTAGAAATGTGTTATGGCAGCACAAGGTCCTAGCCAGTGACTTTTAGCACATTTAAAGCTGAGCTCTGGGAACTAAAACTTTCACTGAAATAGGATACACTACAATTTTTTTACAAAAAGGATATTGCAGTGATATCGTTGCAGTCTTCAGTTAATTTTTTTTTTTTTTTTAAATAGCTGTCAGTTTCTATTTGTCAGATAACGTGAACATTCAGCTAACTTATTTGTTCCGGTTTTTGAATGGGTAGCCCAATACTACCCAATATGGAAATCTGAGTCCTCTTACCGTTGCTGTTAAATAATATGCAATATTATGTATTCTGCCTCTGCACCACTTGTTTATGGTGCAGCAGTGAAAGCTTTCTGCTTGCTGCCTTTGTGGGGATTTTGACATGAATCTGTTTAACTGCTTCCCGGCCACCCTATAGCAGAAATACTGCTACAGGGCGGCATGGGTGTGCAAAATCACGTGTGTGTGTGTGTATATATACGTGATTTTGAATTTCCAGATAGGGGGCGCGTGCCCTACACGCGCCGCCATTTGCGGCCACTGCTGTCAATCACCGGGCCCCAGACAGTAATTACTTACCGGCGCCCGGTGATTTACAAGGCTCTCCAACATGGAATAGGACTGTTTTGTTTACTAACAGTCTTCCTCCCTGTCAGCTCGGGCACACTGCTGTGGATGGCTGTGTGATTACAGTGAAGCACCAACACACCGCCCTCCAGTAAAACACTCCCAGCACACAGTTAACCATTTGATTATCCCTCATGTTAACCTCTTCCTGCCCAGTGCCATTAGTAAAGTGTCCGTGTTTTTTTTTTTTTTAGCACTGATCACTGTATTGCTGTCACTGGGGATGTTGGTGACACCAAGCAAGTTCCCCCCCAGTGTCAGAATGTCCACCGCAGTCCCGCTATAAGTTGCTGATCTCCGCCATTACTAGTAAAAATGGAGAAAAAAAAAAATCCCAGTGTATATATACCGCCATTTGTAAACGCTATAACTTTCACGTAAACCAATTAATTTACATGTATTTGAATTTGTTTTTTTTTTTTTTTTTAGCAAAGACATGTCACAGAATACATTTTAGTGTAAATTTATGACTAAATTAGATTTTTAATTTTTTTTACTGGACATGCTTAATAGCAAAATGTAAAAAAATCTTGTTTTTTTTTTTTTTTTTCCCCTCAAAATTGTCGGTATTTTTTTGCTATAATAAAAAAAAAAACGCACAGGCAATCAAATACCACTGAAAAAAAGCTCTATTTGATGGGAAAAAAGGATGTAAATTTAATTTGGGTGCAGTGTTGCATGACCTTGCAATTGTCAGTTAAAGTAATGCAACGCTGTAACGCAAAAAGAAGGGGGTTAAATCCTGTGGAGGGCAAATGGTTAAAAAAAAAAAAAAAATAGATGGGTGGGCTCTGGCCTTGACACCTCCAAAATCATCATTTCTGTGCTCAGTTTACATTGCTTCTGTCTGTTCCTGGTAGCTGTCACAAAGCACCTTGCACACTTACAGGAATCGCACTTATTAGTTTGCTCTCTTGATGCGCAGAACGGACAATGCAGTGAAGAATCACTGGAATTCCACCATCAAAAGGAAAGTGGAGACAGGCGGGTACCTGAACGGACGGAAGAGCAGTGTCACAGGAGATCAGGAGGAGCAGGATGACTCAGTTCCCAGACTGTTGTGCAGAAGGTACAAACTCAGTCAACATACAGTTATTTGTAGATGTCCACTACTGAGTGTTTATGTACATTTACAGTATATAACGTGTATAGACGTGTAATGTACATTAAACTTGTATTTTCTCACCTTGGTTAATACACTTCTTTTTTTGCTAACAGAGCGATCTATGTTTGGTACCCCAGGATAAAGAAGATGCTATAGAGCCTGTCACTGTCTCTGATATAATAGAGGTAAATATAACTGAAGTCAAGTCAGAGGTGCATAGTGAAGGTGAAGAGGAAGAGAGTGCAGGATCCAGCCCCTCATCTGCTGTCGCTTCTGTGAGCTCGGGGCCAGAGAAGTGGATGGTGGAGTATGTAAACTACCTGGTGCCGAACTCTGACATGATTGAATCTGTAAGTATCTATCTTTGCACAAATCTTTGTTTTCTTGGATATTTAAAGTAGGATAACATCATTTTATCATTCTTTATAAGTAATTATTCAGTAAAATGGTTTGCCTTCTACAATGTGTGCAAACTAGGAATAGTGTTATTAGCCATTTTCTATATAGGATTTGAAAAATGATTGGTGATGGTGGTGGAACTATAGGGTCACAAACAAGGATCAGGACAGGACTTGATGCTTTTAGACAGAGGAAATCCATAATTTCATGTTATAAATGAGGTACCGTATTTCGCGCTCCATAAGACGCACCTGACCAAAAGACGCACCTAGGTTTTAGAGGTGAAAAACAAGAAAAAAAATATTCTGAACCAATGGACTGCAGACACCATACAGGAGATGACCAGAGACTGCGGCCACAGTACAGGGGATGACCAGCGACTGCGGCCACAGTACAGGGGATGACCAGCGACTGCGGCCACAGTACAGGGGATGACCAGCGACTGCGGCCACAGTACAGGGGATGACCAGCGACTGCGGCCACAGTACAGGGGATGACCAGCGACTGCGGCCACAGTACAGGGGATGACCAGCGACTGCGGCCACAGTACAGGGGATGACCAGCGACTGCGGCCACAGTACAGGGGATGACCAGCGACTGCGGCCACAGTACAGGGGGAATGACCAGCGACTGCGGCCACAGTACAGGGGATGACCAGCGACTGCGGCCACAGTACAGGGGATGACCAGCGACTGCGGCCACAGTACAGGGGGGATGACCAGCGACTGTGGCCACAGTACAGGGGATGGCCAGCGACTGCGGCCACAGTACAGGGGATGGCCAGCGACTGCGGCCACAGTACAGGGGATGGCCAGCGACTGCGGCCACAGTACAGGGGATGGCCAGCGACTGCGGCCACAGTACAGGGGATGGCCAGCGACTGCGGCCACAGTACAGGGGGATGGCCAGCGACTGCGGCCACAGTACAGGGGATGGCCAGCGACTGCGGCCACAGTACAGGGGATGGCCAGCGACTGCGGCCACAGTACAGGGGATGGCCAGCGACTGCGGCCACAGTACAGGGGATGGCCAGCGACTGCGGACACAGTACAGGGGATGGCCAGCGACTGCGGACACAGTACAGGGGATGGCCAGCGACTGCGGACACAGTACAGGGGATGGCCAGCGACTGCGGACACAGTACAGGGAAAATGCCAGTGACTGCGGACCTTTGGGGAGGGAGGGGGAGCGGGTACCTGAAGTTGTCCTTTTCTTTAGTGTGGGCACGCTGGCTTCTTCCCGCGCCGGCTTCTGTGACAGCTGGGTGCCCACTGCGCATACGAGAGAAGCGCTGCGCTTTGTGAATTGCCCGGTGCCTTCTGGGACCTGTCATGTGTCCCAAAAGTCGCTGGACCATTCACAAAGCACAGCGCTTCTCGCGCATGCGCAATGGGCACCTGGCTGTCACAGAAGCCGGCGCGGGAAGACTGTACAGTGCTGGACAGAGGAACAGGTAAGGTCCTGCAGGAGAGAAAAGCTGAGTGGCTGGCCCGGTATTCTGACATGGTGGCGTCGGCGGAAATACTGGACCGGCCGCTCCATATTCGCACCATAAGACGTACTGCTATTCCCCCCCCCCCCCCTTTTTTGGGGGAAAAAAGTGTGTCTTATGGAGCGAAAAATACGGTACTTCGAGCGAATTAGCAGTGCCATACCTTCAGATGCAACATACAAGTGACAATATACAGAGCAGAGAATTTAGTGCAATAACAAGTGACATGTCCAGCATATAGACTGTAGAAATGTATGTTTGGGTCACATGCCAACAACCGCAAATCAAATGGTGCCGTGGCTGCATAGTAACAGACTTGTTGTCACAGCACTGTGCATGTATGAAGGTTAAAGATGAACTTCAGGAATTCAGCCACTTTTTACAATGTGCTGGCTTGCTATGAGTTAAGTCCAAGGTGCATGCCACCTTGTCACTTTTGTTTACAGCTGACAGTTTTATGGAGTGCTGGGAGCACAGCTATCTCTACACTCCCAGTGCTATGAGAGGGAAGACACTGGGGTTGATTTACTAATGGCAAATATACTGTGCACTGCAAGTGCAGCTGCTCTAGATCTGAGGGTTAGCTCTGAAATGAGGGGAGGCTCGGCTGATTTCTCTCATCCGATTGTGTGCAAGCAAAAATGCTTTTTTTTTTTTTTCTTTTTCTTTCTTTCTATTTTCCTTTCATGTGATTGGGTGCTCTTTGCAAAGTGAAGCTTTACCTCATTTACTAAGCGCTGAAGCAACTGAACTTGTAGTGCACAGTATATTTGCCTTTAGTAAACCAACCCCTCTGTCTTCTCACATTCCTGCCTTGTTTGCCATACATTTTGCTGTACATTCCAATCATTGATGCTGCGATATTCTGAGGTTTCTTCAGCAAGCAACACCTTGACTCCAAGAAAACTGTTGCTACACCTGGAGGTGTTCCAGGCTTGAGATGGAGGGCATTCCAGTAATCCTCATTGCTCAGAATTTTCCTAGGCAGTTGGGTTACGCTGACCTGGTAATACTCCTGACAGATGATGATCATTGGGCTTTGCTGGTTTGGGATCTTCTGTCCAAAGTACTGGTTTGCCATGTGGCTTTACTGCCGCTGTCCTGTTGAAGCCTAGGTTTCTACAGCATGGGGGCGCCTTAGTCTGTGATTCCTCTGTTGCTAAGAACTAAGAAGTGCACTTCTTGCAAGGCCTGTCATCAGACATCGCAGGCGTACTTCACTGGTGTAAATCTCTTGGCTTCTGTAAGAGTTTCTTTTTTTGGATGAATTCTCTATTTCCTGCAGCTTGATCTGGATCAGTGTTGGTTTTTATCACTATAAAGGGTCTGTTTTTTTCCCTTTCAATAGTTTGAGATCGTTTGTCAAGCTGTTTAATTAAATGATAAGTTCACCTTTTGGCCAAAAGTAATAAATGCACATATTTTTGCAGGTAAAAAAAAAGTTAATTTATTACTTTTGGCCAAAGGAGCCTGTAAAGCATTGCATCAGCGATCAGTAGATGATGCCATGCAGGTCTCCCCCGCAGACCTGTCAGAATATCTGCTTGTCATACGGGATGTACGGTCAAGCAGATATACTGACGGGAAGCTTCCAATCAACTACCACAGCGTTCCACAGCGCCGTGGTAGTTCATTAAAAACTTCAGGCTGACAGCCAGCCGTGTGGACAGAGCCGCGCTGTTTTCAAATCTGACATAGCATGGGGAAACTTCTCCCCATACTATCTGTCAAAGGAAGGGGGGCAGCGGGCGGTCGCGGATTTGGCTATGGGAACATGTTACATGTTCCCAAAGGTGAACTTATCCTTTAAGAGTTTCTTGGTCTCAGCATATACTTTCATTTTATAACATCAGCCATTGCTAACAATCGTTATTTTTGATAATGCTATATAAGGGAAATTGAAAAAATTCCTTTCATGTTGTGAGTTCTGCCTGTCTGCTGCCCATCTCAATATCCTGGATTACCTGCACACTTGCTTTTTCTCCCATTTTCATTCCTTTGGTTTAATTTCATACTTGAAGACCTACATATCCCATGGTACGTTGTGGCTTGCGAACTGTTTCTGTACTGGCTTAGGTCCTGAAAAACTCCCCCCCCTTTGTTCCTTCTAAAGTTCAGAAGGCAGGATCTGTGAAATCTGTGACACGGCAATGCCCATTCACAGGGCATAGTGAATGTGTCACAGAATTCCACAAAATGTGTGGAATGTTAAAGCAGACCTTCACCTTCCTTAACAACATAGAGGAAAAGAGAAGGGGGTGGGCCTATCGGTGTCATCGGGAGGCCTGCCAGCTGAACCAGGAAGAGCCAGCGGGCCTCTTGGTGACATTCGAAAGAACATGGCGGTGCAGGACAGAGCTGCAGATAACACCTTTAAAGTGAGTGGGTCTAACAAAAAAGGGGGGGTGCAGATCCGCTTTCATTTCCAAACTTCAAAATTTGTTCAGAATAATTGGAAATAGTGGAAATTCAGTGTGGAAATAAATGTTACATTTTGACCATAGATACTTTAGGATCTTTCTGTGCAGGTTGTCTCCCGTGGGACTCCCTCATCCTTTCTCTTTTACCTCATTGGGATCTGAATCTGATTTGTCCTTGTGTTTCAATCCAACATTTTGAACTCAAGAGACCTTCCCTCTCTCTACTCACCCACAAGTGGATGTTTCTTGTCACCTCTGTGTGGTGAGTGTCTGAACTGACACCCTTAGTCTGCAAGAAACTCTTCCTGCTTTTGCGGAGGGACGAGGCTATGTTGAGGCAGAGAAATTTTCTTGTCTAAAGGTAATTTTGTCTTTTACCCGCACTCTGTCTGGCTCCAGTTTTCTGTGGATGTGGTTTGAGCTGTGTGAGTATATGTCTCAGCCAGTGTGCACTAGTTTCTTGTTGCACCATATTTAGGCGCTTGGGCATTTGTTCAAGCCTATGGGCTAAAGGATTGAATGGTACCTTTTTTGTTAGGGTGCCAGATAATATATGTGCGTCCTGGGCTTTTGGGTGATAAGCAACTGTTTTTCCAAACTTGCGGTACTTCCTCCTGGTTCCCCATTCACACTTTCTCTACATTTCTTTTTTTCTACATTGTGGATGTCTCATCCTCATATGATGCCAAACTTCCTGCAAAAAAAGACCTTTAGAAGGCTCTCCAAGCTGCAAGCAGTCCTTGGTTTTCTGTTTTTCTTCTCGGGGTTTGTTAGTGTTTGACTCCTGTGTCCCTTAATGGACTCCAAGAAAAGGACTTTACAGGAAGTTCAAAAATCTTTTTTTTTTTTTTTTTTTTTTTTTTCTTTTGGTAGCTGTACAAAGTAATGGGAAGATTATGTCTCTGTGGTGGTCCAACTCCACTGGAGGAGCAGCAAAGACACCTTTGGCCAGCAGCATTGTCAATCTGGGGTGTGAGGGTAGTGTAGCAGATTTGGATGGACTTGACTAAAAGTAAAACTGAACTCCTGACAGCATTCATGGCATGTCCTGTTTTGGGAAACAGTTAATTTGATGATGGGTTTAGTTCTGCTTTAAATGGTTTGTCTTAACAATGTCACTTTTTGATGGACAGTTTGGTTTGTTAAATTAAGTTGCAGAATAAGACTAGCTGGTGGGATCAACAAGTGAAAATAAAGAAAGCACAATAGCTTAGTCTCAAAAAAACTAATGCAGCCAACAAATTTAGGGATATGTAAATTTCAGCATATTTTGTTTGTGTTTTAATTCTGCTTTAAGTAAACCTGAATTGTTGCTTTGCTGTACATTGATAAGCGGGTTCACTTTATAGGTGGTCTTATTGCTGTTTCTTGTGTACTCGTTGTGCCGTTTATTAAACTTTAGGCTCTACTGAGTCTATACAGACATTAAATGGCTCTGATTCTACAGCCATAAATATAAATTTATAAACCGATTTTTCGATTACTGCCTTTTGCATTCATATGCACTCAAATTTTTTAGTGACCTTTTGAGATCATATCAATGAACAGTGGTTTCTCTATGCTATGAGTTACTGCACATATTTTTCACTTCTGTGTTAGCCTTGCATCTTGACCTTCATTATGCCTTTTTTTTTTTTTTTTTTTTTTTTTAGGACACCGATGGCTGGTGTGACTTATCTTCATTTGACTTAGTAGATGACTCTGCTGTCAGTGATGTTGGAAGCCCCACACATTCTGCCTCTAACTCTACAAAGACCATGTCAGCAAATGTTACAGAATACCGATTGGATGGACATACCCTCTCCGACTTGAGTAAGGGCAGCAAGGGTGAATTGATTCCTATTTCTCCACGTCCACAAGGCATATTTGGAACTCCACCGTCCCTGCTTAAGCAGCACAAAAAGAGGAGAATTACATTGTCACCTGTTACAGAAAGCACTGTCAACAGCAGCACCTCTACTACAGAAGTGAATAGTATGACTCCGAAGAGCACTCCGGTTAAATCCCTGCCTTTCTCTCCATCTCAGGTAGGAATTCAGCTAGACCATTGTGCAATGATTGGGTTTAAACGTCTTAAGGGCACTCACATTAACCACCTTCCGCCCGCCCTCTAGTACAATGATGGGCGCAAGGTGGTTCTCTCGTTCTGATAGGATGTCATATGACATCCTACCATTCTCACTGCGCATGCGCAGCTCAGGGAGCGTGCAGCGCGGCGATCGCAGGTCCGCTGTGCCCTCGGACACAGCGGATCACGGAAAGAGCTGAAGATGTCGGCTCAGTCATGTGATCAGCTGTGTCCAATCACAGCTGATCACATGTAAACATGGAAATGCTGGTTATCGGCATTTCTCTCCTCTCGAGCTGTCACGCTGACAGCTGGAGAGGAGAGCTGGTAATCTGCTGCTTTCCGCGGAGGGGACATGTACATGATGATCAGTGTGGCCCAGAAGTGCCACCTGTCAGTGCCCATCAGTGCCATGTGCCACATCAATGCCATATATCCGTGCACATCAATGCCACATATCAGTGCCCATCAGTGCCGCCTATCAGTGCCACCTATCAGTGTCCATCAGTGCAGCCTCATTAGCGCACATGAGTGAAGGAGAAAAATCACTTATTTACAAAATTGTAGAACAAAAACTAAGAAAAAACGTTTTTTCAAAATTTTCAGTGGTTTTTGGTTTAAGAAAAAATAAAAATCTCACCAAAAGAAAGCTCTATCTGTCTCAAAAACATGATAAAAATTTCATATGGGTACAATGTTGCATGACCGCGCAATTGTCATTCAAAGTGTGACAGTGCTGAAAGCTGGAAATTGGCCTGGGCAGGAAGGGGGTATAAGTGCCCTGTAGGCTAGTGGTTAATATAATTGTTGGAAAATCATTTTTTTTTTATGGAAAAAAAGTGTAGTTTTTTTTTTTTTTTTTTTTTCCTGACCTGACAAGGTATACAGCACCATTGTAGTTCTATTAAAAAAAAAAAAAAAAAATGAGCAAGAAGCCCTTCATGAGCTATGGTCTAGCGACATTGCCTTTGCTGAGATTTCATCAGTCTGCTGCAGGCAGGAGCAGATATTTTCTCACTCTTCTTCCTTAGTGATCAGATTGAAAATTTGTAGAAAGGTGAGAGGTTGAAGTAGACATTTGCGAACATGGCCAAGATCTGCAGATGCCACAATTTATACAGTTGTTTTATTTCTGAGCCAGCTTACTCAAGTAATTGGATACTGACCCTGGATAATGCCTGGACATAGATGGGGCTTTCCTATCAGAGAAGCAGATTGTGTTATCTGAGAGTGCTGTGTTTTGTCAGCATGCATTTAACTATATTTATATTCACTTAGTTTCTTTGCTAAAAAGCATGTTTATAGAGTTTAATAGCTGAACTTCTAATTGCATACACCTCCTCCCTAGCTGTGTGCCCCTTCGTACTGCTCTGTGTGCAGTTTGATTTTAAGGGACACTTCTCAGAGGAAGAAGATACTGCTGTGTTCTATTTAGAGAATATAGGATGCCCTGCAAAATATTGGTGTATCCTGTAATGTAAAAAATATATAAAATAACATAGATACAAAACATAACTTTTAAAACCGATAAATGACAAAGCAAAAGAATTAACTTGCATTTTTGTATTTTTCCAGTTTTTGAATTTCTTGTCAAAACATGATGCCATAGAGCTGGAAAATCCATCTCTGACCTCAACACCTGTCTGTAGCCAGAAGGTTGTGGTGACCACCCCCCTCCATCGGGACAAGACACCACTGCTGCAAAAGAATTCAGCGTAAATTATGTTTTAATGTCCATTGCTTGTGATGTTTGACCTAAACATAAATACAGGTGTACCTCGGTTTACGAATTTAATTAGTTTTGCAGGACCTTTCGTATAGCGAACAATTTGTAAACCGAAACACTGTTTCCCATAGGAATGCATTGAAAACCAATTAATCCGTTCTGAAGGTCAGAAAAACCGTAAACGCTACTAAAATACCGCATGAGTTATTTTATGAAATCATGTGGTATTTTAGAAGTGACAACCATGTGTTAATGTTTCAGCTGGCAGCTGGGTTCCCCACTGACAGCTGAATGTAAAAGAATTGCCAGCAATTAAAAAATTACCGCTTTTTTTCTTCACTATACAGTAGTTCACAAATTCAGCTGTCACTTCTCCCTCCAGCTAAAAGAGTTTCTTTTATTTTATTTCCCCAACTTAAAAGAAACCATGTTTCCTTTCAGTTTCTTAAAAGATACAAAGTTTCCTGCAACTCCAAGGAAAGTGACAGCTAATGTTGTGTAGGTGTAGTGAAGATAAAAAAAAAAAAAGCCGGCAATTGCATTTAAAAATCAGCACTGACATTCACTTCGTATTGCGAAAAAAATTAGTAAAACATTTGTAAACTGAGGCATTATTTTCAATGGATTTTCATTCGTAAATCGAAAATTATGTTAACCGAGGCATTCGTAAACCGAGGTATTACTGTGTGTATATATAATTTTTTATTTTCATGGTATAGTATATTTAGCATTCTAAGCAGTAGGGCAGGACTGCAACTGTGGTCCCTGTGACATAACTTGTTGTTTGGGAAAATTTTGCATTTAAATTGCCTGTTGCATTTTTCTCACTTTGCACCACCATTAGTTAATTGGACCCATAGGGGTTGATTTTACTAAAACTGGAGAGTGCAAAATCCGGTGCAGCTCTACAAAGAAACCAATCAGCTTCCAGGTTTTCTTTTCAAAGCTTAATTGAAAAAGCTGACATTAGAAGCTGATTGGCTCCCATGCGCAGCTGCAACAGATTTTGCCTTCTCCAGCTTTAGTAAATCATCCCCGTAGTGTTTTGGTATATCGAATGGTGTAGTCCTGCCCAGCTGTCATTCCCGAAACTGCTAAAAGCTTCTTACTCTATCTCTACAATAGAAAGTAATAATTCTGTAGCCCAAGATGACAATAGGGAGAGCCAAATAGACTCCTTGAGATAACACTGGAAGAGTGCACAGGACTGACATGAATTTCTGACATGATCAACAGTTTTTTTTTTTTTTTTTTTGCACTTATTGAAGAGATGTAACAAAACACGTTGAATGGTATATTGAACAGCCTGAAAGGAAGCACATTTATTCCTGGTTAGCTGGTTCCTGCCTAGCCTATTGTACAATGACATATGACGCCCTCCCATTCTTGGCGCACAGCGAAACAATCTGTGGTGAGCTGTGTCCCTTGGATGTTGGCTCTTTACCATGTGATCAGCTGTGTCCACTCACAGCTGATCACATGTAAACAAATGCCGGTTATCTCAGCATTTTCTTTCCTCGGCGCTGTCTGAGGAAAGGAAAGCCGACAACTGGCTTTCCTGTGACGGGACTTTTACACTGATAATCAGGGCACAAAAAAAGACACATTTTATATTTCTCCTTGCTAGAGGAGAAAAGTGTAAACAAAGGAAAAATAAAGAAATAGGGTTTGATCTAAGTCAGTGTTAGAGTTGGAGTTAAGGTCTGGGTCAGTGTATTTTACGTGGGATTAAAAAAAGCATTTTTTAAAATTCGGTGTCCGTGTGTTTTAGGTAGGATAAAAAACAAAATGTGCACTATTGATTCTGGTATCTTTGATATTGTCAGGAACAGAAGAATTTATATTGGGTTTCTTTGATGGCAGGTTATGGTAACGGCAAGAAATCTAGTTACATTTCAAAAACTATTTTTTTTTTTCTATGTTGTGCTAGTTTTTCTTTGATAAAAAAATTAATCAGAAGATATGTTACCATTTACCGCCAAATGAAAGCCCAATTCTTCCTAATGTATAAAAAAAAAAAGCAAAAAAAAAAAAAAAAGCAACCAGGTATAATTTACCTGTTGCAATGATATGTACAGTTTTACTAGCACAAGTCAACATTGCAAAACTGTATTCAGGTGTTTAAGGTTTGTTTTACTTTGTTCTGAAAAGGTTACCAGAAAGGTGAATGTCTTTCTCTAAATTTGGACTAGCATATTTATAGTATCTTGTGTTCTCTTATTGTTAGGAGTAACGTGTTTTTGTTTTTTTTTTGTTTTTCTTTTCTTGCGTTGTTTTAGATTTGTCACTCCAAACCACAAATTTATGGGAGACAATACACCTCACACACCTACACCATTTAAAAATGCATTGGAAAAGTTTGGTTCAAGGCCATTGGTAAGTGAGTTTTGAATGTATCCTTCTATAAGTAATAGCCATTAATCATTGGTATGTACACAAGTCCCCAATACCCCAACAGCAAGATACTGTCTTAAGAAGCAGACATTGTTTGACTGGAGGGGGGTGAACACATATTATATGAAGTAAGGTGGTGGTTGAAGGAGTTGTATAACCAGAAATTGAAACTTTGATTTTTATGCTCAAACAAATATCAGAAATCAAAATGAGGCATTTTTGGGGTTCTGTTGTAATGCTGGGGGACTGAAAAATCTGTTAAGACTATCTCACTTCAGCAGTCTCCAAAATATGTATAAAAAATTTCTTAAAACAAGCATGCAAAATATAAATCTGTTTTGGACGGAGCTGGTTTTAAAGAAGAAACTTCAGTAGACAATTTACACTAGATAAAATGTGCAGAGCAACTTTATATAGAATCATCTGACCTTTTTTTATTCTACCAATGTGTTCTGGTTGCAGCAGTTTGATTAATGTGGCTACTTGGACCTTTTTGTTTGCACTTTTTCTGTGACTTTCTTCTTGTTTTGCAGCCCCCTACTCCTCACCTAGAAGAAGATCTGAAGGAAGTCCTGCGCAGTGAGTCAGGCATCGAGCTTATTATTGTGGATTTGAGCCGAACCACGATCGTCATAAAAGGAAACCCGGGGTAATTATTGGCTTTCTTCTGCTCATATAAGGGTAATCTTTGTGAACATAGTATTGCCATAGTTCCCACTAACTGAAAAACTGACATCTAGGCCCTATTAATAATGGGAAGTGGATGGGGATATGAAGTGACACTAAACTCCAGTTAAAAAAATGTGTATATGTTTATATTCCTAACTGAAAAAAAAAAAAAAAAACATCCTATTAGACGGTGGCTACGTTTGTTCTCCATGTCCAGCTGTATGTAGGAACATAGCCTCCCTCTCTTGCTCGCACCTGAGAAGCACTGGGGACTATAGGATTGTAAGAGTGCATGGAACAGTGCACATGACTGCAACTAACGTGCACTGCTTGTTCCAAACAAAACCAAGGGGGCAGAGGGTCGGGAGCTCAAGGAGGATGTTAAAAAAAAAAAAAAAAAAAAAAAAAAAAAAAGCAGAAAAGCAAACTATTTCATGAAATATAGTTTACATGGAAATAAGTAGTGGATGTGTATGAATTTTGTTTGGATAATAAGGATATCATTTTGTGTCACTTTCACCCGGTTTCTGTCAAGGGCCATAGCAGCAAGGAATTAACCATTTTGCTGCCAGATCCAATATTAACATTGTTTGCACATGTAAGCCTGAAGATTACTTCAAACTAAACATGTTTTCTGAAAGTATAGACCCTGTAGAATAAACTAGTGGCAGTTTTTGTTTCTGTATGTCACAAGACATAAGTACAATGGTTTACCAAACCCATATTTTCCTTTAAACAATACACTGAAATAATTTTAGTGCATATAGTTACAATAGAATTCTTACGTTTTGTTAAAATATATAAAGGATGACATTGTGGGGTTTATTTACTAAAGCTGGAGAGTCCAAAATCAGACTCCCTTCTGCATAGAAACCAATCAGCTTCTAACCTCAGCTTGTTCAATGAAGCTTTGGCAATGAAACCTGGAAGCTGATTGGTTTCTATGCAGAAGTGAGTCTGATTTTGCACTCTCCAGCTTTAGTAAATAAACCCCTGTGTGTCAAGTAAATAAAATGTCAGATAAGTCTAGCATTAAAAATTGTAGGCACCTTTTTGAAACAATGAATTACAGTACCCAAATTTTTTCACAGACAACTCTTAACCATTTCAATACCGGGCAATTTTACACCTTCCTGCCCAGGCCATTTTTCAGGTTTCAGCGCTCTCACACTTTGAATGACAATTGCGCGGTCATACAACACTGTACCCAAACTAAAATTTTATCATTTTCTTCACACAACTAGAGCTTTCTTTTGGTGGTATTTAATCACCACTGGGGTTTTTATTTTTTGCTAAATTAACAAAAAAAGACCAAAAATTTTGAAAAAAAAAACCCACATTTTTATTTGTTTCTGTTATAAAAGTTTACAAATAAATAATTGTTCTTCATAAATTTAGGCCAAGATGTATTCTGCTACATATCTTTGGTGAACATAACCCAAATTAGGATGTATTATTTAGTTTGTAGGAAAGTTGTAGAGTTCACAAACTATGGTATAGATCTGAAAATTGATCAATCCTGAAGTACTGACAGCCAATCTAATTTCTTGAGGTCCAAGAATGTCAGAATAGTACAGATATCCCCAAATGACCCCTTTTTGCAGAGTAGACAGTCCGACGTACTTCATAAGAGGCATGGCGAGTTTTTTGAAGTTGTATTTTTTTTTGTCATAATTTTTTGGAAAATGAAAAAATTAAAAAAATTATTTTCACTATTTTTTTTTTACATACTGTCACCAGTGCAGTACAGCGTCATCATATAACTGGCATGGCGGTGAACAGGGACACTGACTGGTGACAGTATGAAAAAAAAATATATATATATATTTTTTTTAATTTTTTTTTTATTTTTAATTTTTTATTACATTTTTTTTATTTTTTTAAGATTTTTTTTTAAGATTTTACTATTACCAAAGTAGTACAGTGTTACCATAGTAACATTGTACTACTTTGGGGAAGTGATCAGTATTTTTTTTTTTTTTTTACACAATTTGCTTATAGCAAGTATTACTTTGCTATAAGCAAGCATTTACCTGAATGAAATCGATTCATTCATTCTTTTTTTTTTTTTTTTTTTTTTTTTTTTTTTTTTTTTTTTTTGTGCTTAGCTGTGATTTGGTCACAGCTAATCACATGACATGTGCATGTGATTAGCTGTGACCATTCACAGCTAGGCACTAGTATACAATGGATGGCATGAATGAAGCCATCCATTGTATACAACTGTCATGTGACCTGCTGTGATTGGTCACAGCAGGTCACATGGTACCAGCAACTGGAGCCGGTACTCGGATCTGTCATCGGCCGTGGCCTCTGCATTAGCGCAAACTGCACATGTGCAGGAGCATGCCAAATGGCGTGCACCCGGAATGCAGCAACACTTTTGAAGCCGCCAAACGGCCATTGGCCGGGCGGCTAATGGTTAAAAGTTATTAAAGCTCCTTAAAATGGGAAAAAAAACCCAAAGTTTTAAAGCCTCATATTTGTAAGAATGTAAACACTTGTGTCGGGTGTGCACGCACAAAAAATTATTGTTAAAATACACATTTTTGGCTTAAAAATGAATTCAGCATCTGCAAAAAATGAAAATATAGGTCCTGCAGTGAATTGCTTAAAGTACAGCATTCCTAAATGTGATGTCATTAGTAAAGAGTCTGATCTGATTCTGTCATGAAGAAAGTGAAAGTATCTTGGTTTGTACCCTGTATAGATGACATGAGTTTTCACCGCTTTTGACACCCTTTAAAGTAGAACTAAAGGCAAAACGTTTTTGGGTATAGAGTAAAGGAGGGTTATAACCCATGTCATGTTTATTTTTGCCATGTGTCCCATTGGGGAGATTTACCTTCTCTTCCTGTCCTATAGCCAAACCGGAGTGTGAGACAAAATCCCTGCAAATTAAGGGAATCCCTTGGACCCCCCCCAGGTCACTGAAACTAGTGTCCCCGTTGGAAGTTTTCTCCTCTGTTACTTTTCTGGGGACAACCCAATATTTTGGGTTTTCTTTCACTCTCAATGATAATGGTAAACAGGGCAAATAGAGGGGAAATCTCCCTAACGGGGGCAGAGGTAGCAATAAAAGCCTAACAGGTGTTCTAATCCGTCTTCAAAATCTGAAATTAGGGGGAAAAAAATGTACTTTTAGTAAGGCTTTGTTTCCCTTCCACTGCAGATCCTGTGTCTCTGCATCGTTTAATCGTTTCTATAACACATATCTTTACAAAATCACTTTAGGCACTGCCTTATGCTGAATGCTCCTCCTGAGAGCACACTTTGTAAGCCACCATGTAGGTTTTTACTGAGCTGCTCTGTGATTGATTTATTGGTAAAGGGGATTAATTGACTCGCTGAATCATCCTTCAAGCATATCTCTGCAAGGAAACATTTCTTTCCAATGTTACATTCTTGTCTGAAGCACCATGTCATGCAAGTGTCTGGTGAAGTTTATCATATAAATGGATTGTATGTATTGAAAAAATAGCTTTCCATTAAACTTTTGATGAATAAGACCTGACATATTTATAGAAATATACTGTGTAGCATTACTTCGTATAATGTACCCTGTTTCTTTTCATCCAGCACTCACACAGTCCCATCAAGAAAGTGCGCAAGTCCCTGGCTTTGGATATTATAGACAAGGAGATTAAGCCTCCCACATTGTCTCTCTCATCATCTGCTTCACATATACAGGTAAACTGATGCTGGCTTAGCAATGACCATTGTGTAAGGATGGTGAGGGGATGGTGATGCAAGTATGTCAACTGAAAACCTTTAATCTGAGCAGAAGACATTGCCTTTTCATAGTTTCCCTGTTCTTTCTGTTGTAGACCTGCAAGGATGGTATATGCAAACATTGACCATACCCTACAGTTTTATACTTGCTGTCTGCTAGGCATGCCTTTCTCCCCTCTCTCTCTTCTCCCCCCCCCCCCCCTCTTTCCCCCCCCCCCCTCTCCCCCCCCCCCCCCCTCCTCCCCCCCCTCTTTCCCCTCCCCCCCCCTCCCCCCCCCCTCCCCCCTCGCCCCCCCCCCCCCCTCCCCTCTCCCCCCCCCCCCTCCCCTCTCCCCCCCCCCTTTCCCGCCTCTCCCCTCCTCCTTCCCCTCTCCCCCCCTCCCCCCTTTCCCCCCCCCCCCCCCCCCCCCCCACCCCTCCCCCCCTCCCCCCTTCTCTCCCCCCCTTCTCTCTCCCCTTCCCCCCCCCCCCTCCCCCCCTTCTCCTCTCCCCCCCCTCCCCCCCCCCCACCCTCTCTCTCCCCCCCCTCCCCCCTCTCCTCCCCCCCCCTCCCTCCTCCCTCCCCCCCCCCCCCCCCCCCCTCCCCCCCTCTCTCTCCTCCTCCCCCCCCCCCCCCCCCCCCTCTCCCCCCCCCGCCCCCTCCCCCCTCCCCCCCCCCCCCCCCTCCCCCTCCCCCCCCCCCCCCCCCCCCCCCCCCTTCTTCGCCCCCCCCCCCCCCGCCCTCCCCCCTCCCCCCCCCCCCCCCCCCCCCCCCCCCCCTCCCTCCCCCCCCCCTCCCTCCCCTCCCCCGCCCCCCCCCCCCTCCCCCCCCCCCCCCTCCCTCCTCCCCCTCCCCCCCCCCCCCCCCCCCCTCCCCCCCCCCCCCCCTCCTTCCCCCCCCCCCCCCCCCCTCCCCCCCCCCCCAACCCCCCCCCCCCCCCCCCCCCCTCCCCTCCCCCCCCCTCCCCCCCCCCCCCCCCTCCCCCCCCCCTCCCCCCCCCCCTCCCCCCCCCCCCCTCCCCCCCCCCCCCCCCCCCCTCTCCCCCCCCCCCCCCCCCCCCTCTACCCCCCCCCCCCTCCCCCTCCCCCCCCCTCCCCCCCCCCTCCTCTCCCCCCCCCCCTCCCCCCCTCCCCCCCCCCCCTCTCCCTCACCCCCCCCTACCCTCTCCCCTCCCTTCCCCCCCCCTCCCCTCACTCTCCCCCTCCTCTCCCCCCCCCCCCCTCCCCCCCCCCCTTCCCCCTCCCTCCCCCTCCCCCTCCCTCGCCCCCCCCCCTCCCCCCCCCCCTCCCCCCCCCCCCCCCTCCCCCTCCCCCCCTGCCCCCCCCCTCCCCCCCCCCCCCCCCCCCCTCCCCCTCCCCCCCCCCTCACCCCCCCCCCCCCCCCCCCCCCCCCCCCACCCCCCCCCCCCTCCCCCCCCCCCCCTCTTCCCCTCCTTCCCCCTCCCCCCCCCCCTCCCCCCCCCCCCCCCTCCCCCCCCTCCCCCTCCCCCCCCCTCCCCCCCCCCCTCCCCCCCCCTCCCCCCCCTCCCCCCCCCCCCCTCTCCGCCCTCCCCCTCCTACCCCCTCCCCCTCCCCTCCCCCCCTCCCCTCCCCTCCCCCTCCCCCCCCCCCCCCCCCCCCCTCCCCCCCCTCTCCCCCCTCCCCCCCCTCCCCCCCCCCCCCCTCTCCCCCCTCCCCCCCCCCTCTCCCCCCCCCCCCCCCCCCCACCCTCCCCCCCTCCCGCCTCCCCCCCCCCCCCCCCCCCCCCCCCCCCCCTTCACCCCCCCCCCCCCCCTCCCCCTCCCCCCCTCTCCCCCCCCCCCCCCCTCCCCCTCCCCCCCCCCCCCCCCCCCTCTCCCCTCCCCCCCCCCCCCCCCCCCTCCCCTCCCCCCCCCCTCCCCCCCCCCCTCCCCCCCCCCCCCCCCCCCCCCCCCCCCTCCCCCCCCCCCCCCCCTCCTCCCCCCCCCCCCCCCTCCCCCCCCCCCCCCTCTCCCCCCTCCCCCCCCTCCTCCCCCCCCCCCTCCTCTCCCCCCCCCCTCCCCCCTCCCCTCTCCCCCCCCCTCCCCCCCCTCCCCCCCCCCCCCCCCCCCCCCCCCCCCCCCCCCCTCCCCCCCCCCCCCCCCCCCCCCCCCTCTCCCCCCCCCCCCCCTCCCCCCCCCCCCCCCCCCCCCCCCCCCCCCCCGCTTCCCCCTCCCCCCTCTCCCTCTCCCCCCCCCCCCCCCCCCCCCCTCCCCCCCTCTCCCCTCTCCCCCCCCCCCCCCCCCCCCCCCTCCCCTCTCCCCCCCCCCCCCCCCCTCCCCCCCCCCCCCCCCCCCCCTCTCTGCTCCCCCCCCCCCCCCCCCCTCTCCCCCCCCCCCCCGCCCCATCCCCCCCCCTCCCCCCCCCCCCTCTCCGCTCCCCCCCCCCCCCCCCCCCCCCCCCCCCCCCCTCGCTCCCCCCCCCCCCCCCCCCTCCCCCCCCCCCCCCCTCCTCCCCCCCCCCCCCCCCCCCCCCCCCTCCCCCCCCTCCCCCCCCCCCCTCCCTCTCCCCCCCCCTCCCCCCTCTCCCCTCCCCCCTCCCCCTCGCTCTCCCCTCCCCCCTCTCCCCCCCTCCCCCTCTCCCTCTCCCCTTTCCCTCCCCCTCGCCGCTCCCCCCTCTCCCCTCTCCTCTCTCCCCTCTCCCCTCTCCCCCTCCCCCTCCTCCCCTCTCTCTCTCTCCCCCCCCCCCCCCCCCCCTCTCCCTCCCCCCCTCCCCCCCCCTCCTCCCCCCCCCCCCCCCCCCCTCGCTCTCCCCCCGCTCCTCCTCCCCCCTCCCCTCGCTCGCTCTCCCCCCCCCCCCGCTCCTCGCTCCCCCCTCTCCCCTCGCTCGCTCGCTCTCCCCCTCCCCCCGCTCTCTGCTCTCTCCCCCCCCCCGCTCTCTGCTCTCGCCGTCCCCCCGCTCTCTGCTCTCGCCCCCCCCCGCTCTCTGCTCTCGCCGTCCCCCCGCTCTCTGCTCTCGCCGTCCCCCCGCTCTCTGCTCTCGCCGTCCCCCCGCTCTCTGCTCTCGCCGTCCCCCCGCTCTCTGCTCTCGCCGTCCCCCCCCCCGCTCTCTGCTCTCGCCGTCCCCCCGCTCTCTGCTCTCGCCGTCCCCCCCGCTCTCTGCTCTCGCCGTCCCCCCGCTCTCTGCTCTCGCCGTCCCCCCGCTCTCTGCTGTCCCCGCTCTCTGCTCTCTCCTCTCTCTCGCTTTTTTCTCTCTCTCGCTCTCTCTCGCTTTCTTTAGTAACATACTTTTTTTTTTTTTCCTTTTATTAAACTAAAATAGGCTAATTAAAAAAAAAATTGCACTTTTTAGTTGCAGACCCTTCAATGAATGATATGTAGACCTCTGTACCTCCTTTGTTCTCCCATATTGTGATATCTTCTATCTGTATCATGCTGCAGGTGTCCATTTGTTGCTAGGTAACAATATTGGTGGTTTTTGTTTTGTATTAAGGTCAGTGCAGCTAAGCTGCGGTAGTCTGTGATCTGCAGGCTTGTTCATAAAATATCTGAAAAGTATGCTGAACTTCTGTAGTAAGGGGCTGTGCTTGGCATTATAGGTAAAGGCAAGGGTTCAGCACTTAATTAAGAGATGGTATGTTTGTAATTTTTTTGGATGGACATAAACTTACACAGGCAGGAAACCTGGCAAATTTTACTAGATAATTCCTTTCCTAAAATACAAATATGCTTTTGTGTCTTTTAAGTCGAATGGGTATCTGTTTTGCACTTTTCTTTTATTGCAAGTTCAAACATTGCATGTTCATGACGCCATGATGATTAAATTACAAATCTGAAATCCCATGCCTGGCAAAGGGGTCCTGCGTGGCTCTGAAACGTTGCACCTTTCTTTCTGTGAAGTGCTCATTCTTCAATACAAAAAAGCTTTTCGGACAACATTGATCCGTGATGTGCTGGCAAATGTGTACATTGATCTGTGATTATTCCATTTTCCAGTTGGATGTTGCTACAGCCTTCACTACTTCTGAGCCTGATCCAGGAACATGTGTGATGGGAATATTAACATGATCTTGGTCTAGGTCTGTGACTTAAACACTGAAACCTGGCAACTAGCATCAACAGTAGGCCTGCATTGGCAAGTCCCTGTCATGATTTGTGTATTTTTAGTGCACTGAAAAGAGTGAGAACCAGCTTCAAACTACTTGCTAAAATATCAGACTTTTAAAATATTCTTGCAAAGTTTCACACCTGCTTTGTGAGTGTCCTATTTCTCTGCTGGTTAGGGCTGCACTTAAATTTTAAAGCGGAACTACACTGCATCTGAGCACCACAAATCAAAAACACTATTTAATTCATTTTTAATATTCAACGCAAACTCACCCATACATCCATGTCATCATGCTTTATTTTGCTGAGAAATCACTTTGAAAACAACCCCTAGCATTTCTGGCAGTGACCATCTTAAGAAAGGGCAGATGATTTATGTAGCATTTACTTCCTGGACTCTATCTTGCCCTTAGCTTAGGCATGCAGATAGGAGGGTGTGCTTAACTGAAAAAAAACTCCTTCCTTCCTGAAGAATCCTGGGATCTATGACATCATTTGCCCAGGCACAGAATCCAGAAAGTAATCTAAAGAAATGTGTTAAGGAAAAAAACCCAAAAAGGATTAAAAATAGTCCATGTTGATTGAGAGTGTGAGGTTCCACTTTAATCTCTCTGTTGGCAAAAATTAGCTTTTGTTTTGGTTTTTTTTTTTTTTTTTTTTTTTTTTTTTTTTAAAGGTGGCATTTGTTGTGTTTTTTTTTTTTTTTTTTCTCTTGTTTTTAATGCCATGATATGTTTTACTCTCAGACGCAGGGTTGCGAGAGCTTCCTGTCCATATCTCTCAACGAGTCTTCATGCAGCAGCAAGGAGGAAAACAGTCTATTGAACCAGGGATTTGTCCAGGTCAAGTCAGGAAAAGGATCTTTTATGCTTGGGGACACCTCACACACTGACATTGGAGAACTAGTTAAAACGCAAGAGTCTGCTCTTCACAGAAGTGGAAAAGCCACGCCAGTTAAAACTGAGCCTGCTGCTAATGTAGCTACAGACGCTTCTTCCTGTTTGATGGTGGACATGGACAAAGTGGTGAGAACATCCCTTAATAAAAGCAAAGCTGCAAGTGTGAAGGCTGATACAGGTGTAACAGTAAAGACTGAAAAGGAGATGGTGGCACGGACAGAGAAACTCAGGATACCAGAACCGGTAAGTTCTTAAAGGAAACATATAAGGGTTTTTGCATGTGTGTATGTATACATGTGTGTGTATGTATATGTGCGCACACACACACACACACACAGTGGACTGAGCTTCCTGCATCGAACATTAACAAGAAAGCTACTGCTGTTTTTGATCTTCCTCCTCTGCAACACTTGCGGGTGCCTATAAACCAGTTTTGGATATGGATAGTTCTATATAGATTTTTTTTTTTTTCCTTATTAATATATAATTGTCTACATTATATACATGTAAATGCTACATTTTATTATTAAAATAGCAAACATGATATACTTACCTGTTCTGAGCCCCCATCACTGGCTCCTTCCTCACTGCTTTCTCTGAGCCAATGAGGAGGGAGAGAGTTGCTGCTCTTGTGCACATCGCTGGATCGAGATTGGGCTCAGGTAAGCATAGGGGGGTTGAGAGCAGAATGCAGAAGGTTTTTTTTACCTTAATGCAGAGACTGTATTAAAGTGATTTCTAAAGGTTCGTATTTCTAAACCTGTTATACTTACCTGCTTTTTGCAATGACTTTGCACAGAGCAGCCTCAATCCTCTAATTTTTGAGTCCCCTGCTGGCGGCCCTGGATCTCCTGCCCCCGCTGAGTCGCCCCAATAGCAAGCCTTTTGCTATGGGGGCACTCAAGCAGTCACGAGGATATTTGGCCTACCACCTGCTTTCTCCTCATTGGCTCACTGGTTGTGATTGACAGCAGCAGGAGCCATTGATTCCCGTTGCTGAGGGAGCCAATGAGGGGAGAGAGACTTGGGACAGCCGCTGCTGTCATGTACATTGCTGGATCATAATAGGGCTAAAGTAAGGTGCAGCTGGGGGGGAGCTGTGCCCAGAAGGTTTTTTACCTTTTAACCACTTTCCCTTCTGAGGATTTACCACCCCCACCCCTTCCTGACCAGGCCATTTTTTGCGTTGCGTTGCTGCATTACTTTGACAATTGCGCGGTCATGCAACACTTTAACCAAATGAAATTTACATCCTTTTCTTCCCACGAATTGAGCTATCTTTCGGTGGTATTTGATCGCCTGTGAGGTTTTTATTTTTTGCACCATAAAAAAAAGACCATTTTGAGTTTCAGTTTACATGAGTTATAGCGTTTATAAATGGCGGTGTGTATATATACTGGGATTTTTTTATTTTATTTTTACTAATAATGGCGGTGGTCAACGACTTATAGCGGGACTGCGACGGGCATTCTGACACTGCGGGGAACTGACTTGGTGTCACTGACATCCCCAGTGACACCAATATAGTGATCAGTGCTAATAAAAAGCATGGACACTGTACTAGTGGCACTGGGCAGGAAGGGGTTAACATGAAAGGCGATCAAAGGGTTAACTGTGTGCTTGGAGTATTTTACTGGGGGCCATTGTGTTGGTGCTTCACTGTAAGCACACTGCTCTGGATGGCTGTGCTGTGCACAGCCATCCAGAGCAGTGTGCCCGAACCGACCGGCAGGAGGATTGTTAGTAAACAAAGTAGTCCTCCCTGTCGGAGATCCTTGGTAATCACCAGCCGGGACCCAGTGATCGGCGGCGCGGGTTGGAAATACCCGAAAATACAAAATTACGTATATGTACAGTCAGGTCCATAAATATTGGGACGTCGACACAGTTCTAAAATTTTTGGCTCTATACACCACCACAATGGATTTGAAATGAAACAAACAAGATGTGCTTTAACTGCAGACTGTCAGCTTTAATTATGCAAACTGTTGTAATTCCTACACCGTTCACCTGATTTGGATGTAAATACCCTCAAATTAAAGCTGACAGTCTGCAGTTAAAGCACTATTTGTTCTTTTCATTTCAAAGTCCCTCAATCCCCTCATGTTTTGCATTGTATTGGTATTGTTCTGTCCCCCTTTGTAATGTACAGCGCTGAGCGAACTATTGGCGCTTTATAAATACTGTATAATAATAATAAAAATCCATTGTGGTGGTGTATGGAGCCAAAAATGTTAGAATTGTGTCGATGTCCCAATATTTATGGACCTGACTGTACATGATTTTGCTCAGCCCTACTGCCCTGTATTAGTATTTCTGCTATAGGGTGGTGGGGAAGTGGTTAATGCATAGAATACATTAAGGTAAAAAACCTTCTGCCTTTCGAACCACTTTAACCAGTTCTCATCGGCCAATAGCACAAAGGCGGCCGGGCGAGCAGCTCGTCCCTCCCGGTGAAAGCCATATATGGCGTCCTTTCAGTCATGCGCAGTTTGCCTGCCCGCAGAGCCGTGCATCGGCTTGATCTGTCACCGGCCATGTACCTCAGACATGGCCAATGACAGATCTGTGTACTGGCAGGTCACATGACAGTTGTATACAATGGATGGCTTCCTTTCATGCCATCCATTGTATACAAGTGTGGCTAGCTGTGAGTGGTCACAGCGATCATGTGCACAAGTTGGGCCAATCACAGCCCAGCTGTGTCATGTGATTAGCTGTGGCCAAATCACAGTTAAGCAAAAAAAAAAAAAAAAAACCCTTAAATGAATCAATTTCATTCAGCTAAATGCTTGCTTATAGCAAAGCAATTCTTTGCTATAAGAAAATTGAGTAAAAAAAAAAAAAAAAAATACTGATCACTTCCCCAAAGTAGTATAATGTTACTATAGTAATATTATACTACTTTGGTCATAGTGAAATATGAAAAAAAAATCTTAGAGAAATGTAATAAAAAATAATAAATGAAAAAAAAAAATGATCACTTTTTTTTTTCATACAGTCACCAGTGTCCCTGATCACCGCCATGCCAGTTATATGATGACGCTGTACTGCGCTGGTGACCGTATGGGGAAAAAAAAAAAAAAAAAAATAGTGAAAATCATTTTTTTTTATTCATTTCCGAAAAATTATGACAAAAAAATTACAACTTCAAAAAACTCGACATGCCTGTTATGAAATACGTCGGACTGTCTACTTTGCAAAAGGTAATTTGGGGGATATCTGTACTGTTCTGACATTCTTGGACCTCAAGAAATTAGATTGGCCGTCAGTACTTCAGGATTGATCAATTTTCAGATATATCCCATAGTTTGTGAACTCTACAGCAAAAATGATGTAGGGGTATACAGGTGAAATGTGAAAAATTAGAATATCGTGCAAAAGTTCATTTATTTCAGTAATGCAACTTAGAAGGTGAAACTAATATGAGATGGACTCATTACACGCAAAGCAAGATAGTTCAAGCCGTGATTTGTCATAACTGTGATGATTATGGCTTACAGCTCATGAACCCCAAATCCACAATCTCAGAAAATTAGAATATTACATGCAAGCAATAAAACAAGGATTGTACATAGAACAATATCAGACCTCTGAAAAGTATAAGCATGCATATGTACTCAGTACTTGGTTTGGGCCCCTTTTGCAGCAATTACTGCCTCAATGCGGCGTGGCATGGAAGCTATCAGCCTGTGGCACTGCTGAGGTGTGTTATGGAAGACCAGGATGCTTCAATAGCGGCCTTCAGCTCTTCTGCATTGTTCGGTCTCATGTCTCTCATCTTTCTCTTGGCAATGCCCCATAGTTTCTCTATGGGGTTCAGGTCAAGCGAATTTGCTGACCAATCAAGCACAGTAATCCCACGGTCATTGAACCAGGTTTTGGTGCTTTTGGCAGTGTGGGCAGGTGCCAAGTCCTGCTGGAAAATGAAGTCAGCATCCCCATAAAGCTCGTCTGCGGAAGGAAGCATGAAGTGCTCCAAAATCTCCTGGTAGACGGCTGCGTTGACCCTGGGCTTAATGAAGCACAGTGGACCAACACCAGCAGATGGCATGGCTCTCCAAATCAACACAGACTGTGGAAACTTCACACGACTTCAAGCATCTTGCAGTGTGTGCCTCTCCATTCTTCCTCCATACTCTGGGTCCTTGGTTTCCAAATGAGATGCAAAAGTTGCTCTCATCAGAAAAGAGGACTTTAGACCACTGAGCAACAGACCAGCCTGTTTTTTGTTTTTGTTTTTTTTTTTTTTTTTTTTTTTTTTAGCTCAGGTAAGGCGCTTCTGACGTTGTTTGTTGTTCAGGAGCGGCTTGACAAGAGGAATACAACATTTGAAGCCCATGTCCAGGATCCGTGTGTGTGTGTGTGTGTGTGTGTGTGTGTGTGTGTGTGTGTGGCGGCTCTTGATGCACTGACTCCAGCCTCAGTCCACTCCTTGTGAAAGTCCTCAACACTTTTGAATGGCCTTTTCCTGACAATACTGTCCAGGCTGCGGTCATCCCTGCTGCTTGTGCACCTTTTTCTTCCACACTTTTCCCTTCCACATAACTTTCTATTAATGTGCTTTGATACAGCACTTTGGGAACATCCAACCTCTTTTGCAATTACTTTTTGAGGCTTTCCCTCCTTATGGAGGGTGTCAATGATGGTTTTCTGCACAACTGTCAGGTCAGCAGTCTTTCCCATGATTGTGATTCCTACTGAACCAGACTGAGAGAGACCATTTAAAGGCTCAGGAACCCTTTGCAGGTGTTATGGCTTAATTAGCTGATTAGAGTGGGACACTTTGAGCCGAGAATATTGCACCTTTTCACAATATTCTCATTTTCTGAGATTGTGGATTTGGGGTTTTCATGAGCTTTAAGCCATAATCATCACAATTATGACAAATCACGGCTTGAACTACCTTGCTTTGCATGTAATGAGTCTATCTCGTATATTAGTTTCACCTTTTAAGTTGCATTACTGAAATGAACTTTTGCACGATATTCTAATTTTTCGCATTTCACCTGTATACCCCTACATCATTTTTGCTGGCCCTTCCGTAATAGTGCATAAGGCATTTAGAGATCATAGAGACTCTGGTGTTTGTTCACATGGTATTATTATTCATACGACAGAAATGCACCAAAATGTTTGGTCTTTTTTTGTTTAGCGAAAAAAAGAAAAAAAACACAGTGATTACATACCACCAAAAGAAAGCTCTAGTTGTGTGAAGAAAATGATAAAGTTTTAGTTTGGGTACAATGTTGTATGACCGCGCAAATACATTTTCCCCTCCAAAACATTTTTACTCTAATCATCTTCCACGATGGCACACCTGAGATAACTAGCCCCATCTGACAGGAAACACAATCAATTGACAGAGTTTAAACTCCCTGTCCTTCCCTCCACTCCTCAGTTTTCAATTGTGTTTCCCTGGCAGTGAAATTTTTTTTTTTTTTTTTTTTTTTTTTTTTTTTTTTGGTGGTGGACCTAAGGCCTGGGGCTGGAGGTCCCCCTGGGGGGGTAGATGGCAGAGCCAGGGAGGGCAGGCTTCCTGGGCTTCCTGGGCACAAGGGAGGTGTGCCCGGCGTTTCAGGGATGGGCGACCTTCCTCCCTCTTCTTCCAGGGCAGCAGGGAGGCATGTCAGGAGAGGACCAGGCTGCAAGATTTTTCTTGCGGGTATGCTAATGGCCAACTGGCATTGGATCGCATGGTGCGCCCCTGTAGGGTTAGTGGGGTGGTCACACGGTGAAGTCAGTCACTGGTTCCCCCCCAGTAAGAGCCCAGGGTACAGGTAGGAGTGGAAAGGCTACGCTTCAAGCCTCGCTCCCAATAGGACTTCCGGCTTAAATATGGCGGCGCTGGTTGGCATTCATTCCTTATGAGGCCGGTGAGGAGCCTCCAGGAGTTACCCCTGGGAGTGGGGACCCAGGAGCCCGGTAAAGGCAGTGCAGGGCCATGCTAAGATGGAAAGCGAGGCAGTGGCTGCAGCCAGTGGCAAGACTATGGGCGGCGAGTCTGACTCTGTTGCTGGGGAAGAGGAGGGAGGTAGAGACCTTACTCACCCTCCTACAGGTGTACATAGGGGGAAGGAATATTTTGTTAACCTGGGCTCCTGTTTATCTCCTTATAGCCATGTGGAACGCCCCAGAAGAGCGCCCACAAATCGCCTAAGCCCTAAATTGCTAAAGCCCTCCCCCGCTCCAAACGGTGTGATTATTGTAACAAGAAGATCCTTCAAGATCATGCCAGACCTTTTTGCTACAACTGTATCCACAAGTTGTTGGGGAAAGAAACCTCGGCGGTTATTAAGGATTTTTTGTCGGTGCAGACGGAAACGTTAGCCATCTTTTACAATCCTTGAAGACAGCCCTGACATCTAGGGAGGTGGATGCCCGTTCCACTAGGGAAGGGTCATCTTCCCAGGAGGGAGATTGGACGGAGAAGTGGGTGGGGGGGTGGTTAGGTCTCTCATCCTCTCAGGTCACAGAGGAAGAAGACTTGGAGGAGGCAGTGGGTTCTGGCCAAAGCTCCCTGCAAGAGGGGAAAGATTTGGAAGGTGCTAGTCTGGCTAGTGAAAAATCTAGACCAGGTAGACACATCTTTGTCATGGAAGATATGGAAGGGCTCCTAAGGGCTATCTATGCCTCGGAGGACATTCCAGAACTACCAATTCAGGTCTCAGCCCAAGATGAGATGTATAGGTGGTTGGTGAGGCCGCAAGCTAGGGTGCTACCCATGCACAAAAACTCTCAAAGATGTTGTTTTAAGAGAGTGGAAGGAGCCTGAGTGAGGTCCTAAGATTGAAGACCTGCAAGA